ATGACTAACTGAGAAAGTCATGAATCATGACTCATGCTGTGAGCCAACTACTAAACTGGCTCGACGTAATATATACTGTTCTCTATACCAGTTTCCCCCACTGCAAGCTTTATCATACCATGATCACCCGATTCCTCATTCCAAGAGTTCACCGCCAACCAATAATCTTGCCCGGACTCAACTCCCCAACCAATAATTTTAAGACTATGAACACCCACGAGGCCACCAGTTGTGTGCACGTAGACACCAGACTTGTAGAGTCGGAAATCCTCATACATAGAAATCACCCCGAGAACCTGAAATTTAGAGCCTCTATAATAGAGGCGATCCGCTCAGGCTACCAGCGACATCATCCGAGAGAAATCTAAATTCTCAGTCGCAAAGTCGAGTTCGGTTTTCTTGAATAACACAAATAGTAGAGATATCATCCAAGTTTGATGATCAAACTCAATCTAGTTTATCAGATCATTATTAGAGAGGCTAGCTTCATCGCCACTGCTAGAACTCAGTATCGAAATCACGTGAACTCCGTAGTTAAGCTACGGTAGCCTACGGTTCCATTATCGAATATCTCTTGCTTGATCTTCTGAGGAGATGTTGGTAGACGGCCCCAGCTCTTAGCACGGTGAAGATCTCTAACATAGAGTGATTATGAAGTCTCCATCTGGTGTGCTCCTACTGCTGCAGGCTGGTCTTGTATGACTCATTGATGCATTCAGTTTGGCATGCAGGCTGGGAGAGAGCCTCCTACGACCAGAGAATCCACCACCATGTGATGACGCCACGAGGAACGCTATGTTACACTTACTGACGGACATTTGGGATATTGGCTAGCCGCTGAGCTTGCATGATTGCACTTCGGAAGTGGATACGGCCAGCAGCCATCAGCGCTAGCCAGTTGGTCCGCCGGTTTGAATTCATTACCTATGAAGGCTACGAGTGATGCTAAGAGAGTCCATGACGACCCAAAACTCACCAAACTTGAGTGATCTGTGTCGAATATTCTTACCAGTAACAATGCCATGATTTTTCATGAAGTTCAGTCCTTCAATCAGGTTGCCACGATTACAGCCATTCGATCTGAAGATGAATTGGATCTTAGCTGTCATTCAGAGAACGCGTTGCCATTGTCCGCGGTTGAATGCATATCCCTCACTTAGGACATCCATTAGCACGATTGCAGCATGAAGTGATGTAACCGAGTGATAGGATATTTCTGAAGCTACCGCCGGATTTGATGCACAGACGATCATTAAACGTTCCGGTTGAGCCACTAACCCAGCAGTTATGACAGGCACTTTGGTCCCTGAAAGATGAACCTCCATCCAGGAGTTGCGATAACAGCAGTAAAAAAGACTACCTCACATGCCCAATGACTCCAGCACAAGAGGCAAACTTCTGACGAGCATCAAAGTCACTTGGTAAATTCGTCAACACCGGTTCTGTGGATCCGAGGAGGCGAGTTTCGTCATCAAAAGTCGAAGAGGGCTTCAGATCGTCAAGAGACCCAGTAGGGACATCTTTGATTGACGTACCTGCCGAGTAGTAGCACTGGTTCTCGACTTTGCCGCTCGAGCCGTAGTGTTGACCATGAAGTTCATAACGTACCTTTGAAAGGCGGCTGATCTTTGGAGGCCGTCCATGAGTTCTGCATCAAGTTGATCTTGTCAACCATGGATTGCAATAGAGCCGGCTTAGTGTTGTTAAAGAGCTCAATCAAAAATTCATTTGGCTCTCCTTCCTGCAGAAGCACCTTTCCCAGCTGATCTTGGAATCGGGAGAAATGTTCAGCGTGCTCATCAGGGGTATAGACTGAACCTCAAAAGAGAACCACAACGCTTGAGCGAATACATTGGAAGCGTTCATACCACTCAAGTCAGTGATCTTGTCGAATACTCCTCGGATGTTCGGACTCTCACTTTGAGATAGGGTAATCAAGGAGCACAATCCGACGAATAAGAGAGAATTGCTCATATGAAAGGTAGAAGATAGCAGAGCCGAAATCTAACAGATCATCACGATGAAAATGTACTCGTCTG